TCTGGAACAAAGTGAACGTCTGAAACGCGCATTTCCATCCGCTCCAGGCGTCGTTTACCGACGACCACGTAACCTCAACGACACACTTGTCCACTCTCAAATTAACACACCACCCCCCAATAATTCATGCCGACCTTGTTTAAAGCCACGATGTCTTGTATGTAAGGTGATGCGAGAAACACACAAAGCAACCAGCACACAATCCAAGTTTTCGATTAACATACGAGGAAACCTAACATGTGATTCCTCTAATGTGGTATACCTACTCGAATGCAACGTGTGTGGTATGCAGTACATCGGACAAACAGAAACACCATTTAGGATTCGCTTCAATAATCACAGAGCCCATGCGAAATCAGCCCCAAGTCTACCTCTATCAAAACATCCCAATCTTCCCGACCATGCATTCGACAAACTATCAGTAACGCTCTTAGAGACGGGATTTAAATCAAATCGAGAACGTGAACAACGAGAGTCATACCTTATCCACCGATTTAACACCCTCGATAGGAATAAATGAGAGTCCTGGAACACTTGCAGCAATTAAAGCATTAGAAAACAATAACGGCAATAATGAAAATAGTAACTGAGTTCACGGCACTGCAGCTGCGAAGGGCACTGGACAACTCAAAACGATTCCAAGTGTAACTACTCTTCCTAAGTGCAGCTGTCGTCTGTTTTCTGTTGTATTTTACTACCCAATCAATTGTGCCATGCCCAACAGCAACCCTGTGCACAGCCGGGAGGCCCCCACTGCACGCGTAATCCAGAAGCGGGCAAGGAATTCGCATTGCGCCCGCTTACCAGCCTCTGCCACAATACGCGGAACCCCTCTTTCTACGACGCAATGTTGACGGGAACCCGAGTAGTTAAAGGCTTGAAACTTCCTAAAATGCCCGCTTATCAGCCTCTGCCCCAATACGCGGTACCCCTCTTTCTACGACGAAATGTTGACAGGGCTCCGAGTAGTTAAAGGCTTAGAACTTCCTAAAATAGCTCGTTTTTGCCCCACACCGAACCGCCAGTGCCAGGAGGCGCCGTCTGGTCGGGAAGAATGCGTCAGTGAAGGGAAGCATACACAGACCACTGACATCAGAAAGGTGAATGGGAGAAAGGGGAGAGAGATAAGGGGGAAGTGGAAGGAAGAGTGGAAGGGGGGCACCCGAGGGGAGTCCACCTTATATTCTTTTTTATCTTCCTGTATCTTTCTTTTTCTTTTTTCTTTTCTTTTTTTCTGTCTTTTTCCTCTTTTCTTTCCCTCTGCTTTGAGATTGTATAAAGCTGAGCACCAACAAACTGTACCTTTAATCCTGATGAAGGCCAGATTCTAGGCCAAAACATCGAAGTAAACCACGTTGTGACCGCTCACGGAGGATCTACTGGACTATATATATATATATATATATATATATATATATATATATATATATATATATATATATATATATATATATATATATATATATATATATATCACTTTAAAGTTACTTTGTGTTTGTAAAACCAAAAGCTTATTACTTAAAGATCCTGCCGCCCGGTTCTTGGCCGATCCCCCTTTGTGGGTGTGCGCCAGAATAACAAGGATCATCATCATTAAGAAGCCTGGATGGTAGGGCTTCTCACCAGCGCCATTGGAAATAAAAGGAGCCATCGAGCGAGGGCGCGTGCTGACTCCGTTTCCAAGCGCCGACGTTCCTTTGTGTCTGGATCTATTCCCAACGTGGCAGCAGGCAGCGAACGCTTGGTTCTCTTCACCTTCTGCGAAGTTTTCACCCAAATGTCGTCGGAGTTATGTTTAAACGACGAATCCACAGGACAGCATCGCAGCGATCGTGGACATGTGGAACGACGAAATTTGTGCCCTCCTACACTCCATCGGGTCTACCATGCCGCAGCCGCGGACATTGGTACCCATGCATCGTGGGTCTTCAGCCCTTGTGCGTTAAAGAACAGCATTCGGTTCATGCAAGTATCTCTTGGAGCAAGTGTATCCGCACTGGCGTACGTTCCTGGGAAATCCGTCCGCTTGAAAAAGCCTCCCGAGCCTTCAAGCGACTCTAAGTTCGATATACCAGTTTTCCTAAAGGGGGTCAAAAATATAAGCGTGGATGAGCAGAAACAACGGAAGCTCCTGGATCACACGACCAAAGTCGTCCAACCAGTGGTCATGCAGAAAATCCCGACCAACGATCAGCGCTGCGCCTTGGCCGCTCAAGCAGGCCATCGCTGGTTCCACCTTGTTTCCCAGGCAAGCGCTGAGGTCAGCCAGAACAACAATATCCAGATTCAAACGTGGGCGTCGAGGAGCATCGAGACCAATGTCAGCCAGCCCCACAGGGCCACCTGCCAACCAGGTAGCACATGTCCAGCCCAGCCAGCCCCGTGGCATCCACGCACCGAGGGCACCCAGGAATCTGCCACCTTCATCAGGGTCACCCGCGCCCACAGTACCCTGTTTGAACAGGGGAGCGGCAACATAGACGAGCTGAGAGAATGCAGGCGCGCTTATTTTTGTTTATTATGTTCATTAGTATCGTTTCTTGTTACTTATTGTCGGTAAACCATAATCGGCGTGTTGATGAATACTATCGACTCTTAATACACTCTTAATACATTTATTATGACACCATCGTTTTGATTATGCATGTTATCAATCATATCACGCAATTATTTTGTGTTTATCTTGACTCACTATGCCATAAATCTCTTATTTTTTCGTACCTTGCTTTTGCCTTTGTTTTTCGCAGTGAATGATATATCTGAAATGTATGTAGCTGTATGGGTAGGAATCTCGCGGGACATCCGGCTTTTTTAACCAATAATGGCTTCTTGAATCAGATGGCTGGTCACGGAATTCATTAGGTTAGTTTTGTAAACAATAGTTGCGCTGCAATGAGGATTTTACAGATAAGCACTATACATATTACCGCTTTATAAACGAAATAAAAAAGATGCGTATGCATATGCACATAGACCTTTGTTCGGGGTATCGATGTACGTTGATTGTATGATTATTTTTAATAACCAATTTGTTCTTCCATGGCCTTGCCCATTTGTGTTACTTTCAACTGTAAACAACTGTCATATCAATGAAGTTTCAGGTGAAATACGCTGGCCGAATTGTCATTAAAAACAGCTGATATTTATCCTTGACACGAGTTGCTTGTATTCCTACATCAAGCCTTAGATTACGCAATCGATCAATATAACCCTCAAATATGTTGCTCAAATGGAAAGTTGCCCGCTGGGAGTTTCTGATGTTATTAATGTCCCATGGTAATCTCGATTCTCAATTCGTAATAGCAACCATAAAAATGCTCAATTCGATACAAACTAAGTTCATAACGTTGTCCAAAAATTTCACTTGGAGGAGGCCCCAAATGTGTGCAACCAAGTAGACTTAGTTCTAAATATTCTATTTCGAAAAACAGTTGTTTTAATGGCTGCCCAATTAAAGTGTGTAGGCCACTTGGACTATTACAGTTGGGAAGACAAAGAGACAATTTCGCGCCGATAAGCAATCCCACGATTTAAGTTTGCCGATTCCATCCATATAAGTGTAATACTTTGGTCGGTATATATTCAAGTCATTGTATTGTCAAGTACATATCACAATCCCAGTGCCCAGTATATATACAAACTTTTCGCAAATGTGGAATCTATAGTACTTTTTACAACTAACATTTTACGAGCAGCCAGGACAATAAGTGATCGCAGGGGTTGGGCAACATCATTATATAGGCGTGTGAGCATATACATGAGCAAGAGTGAGCACGGAGGGGGAGGGCACCCCCACATGTTAACTAAGGGGGTGTGGGCAAAGGTTTGCCCCATACATATCGAGCTAATAGAGAGAGAGGGGGGGGGGCGTTTATTTTATTGCAGCATTCCCCAGCCCCCTTTTCGGCGTCGACCTCAAGAGGCAACGTGCTTCACAATAGATAAAAAAAAAAAGCACTGACGTGCTTCCCGCAGTGGTCTGCATTAAGTCAGCAGTTGGTTTCCCGAAAGTAAAGGTGGGAAGTAAAAAGTTCTTGAAATACAACATTTGAGGTCCTTGGCAACCGTTATCGTCAGAGAGCACCGTGGTCACTAAGAATGTGACAGACTTTGCCCTCCTTCCGCCTCCCCCACCCACCCAATCCTCGATCGTGCGCACGCCTATGGACATATTAACGCGGTGAACCCCATCTGCTGTTGCTTCTTCCTCTAGGCGTGAGTCAGATGTGTAGATAGGAATCGCTTATTTCTGTGTAGCACTGAGTGAAAACAAATATATGATAAGGGACTGAGTACCAGCAGATAAGCGCAAGTATTACGGAACTACATGTACTTCTGTTGGCGGCGAGGCAGGTGACACGAAACGAATACACTCAAACGAACTTTTCTTGCGTTTGATGACCCACGTGGTACTGTCACTACAGTTATATTTGGATTGTATACAACAAACACCCAACAGGCAAGTAACAGCGAATTTCAGAAGAAGCACTACGGCTCAGCACAGCAGCGTGGAAACGAAAGAACAAAACTTTTATTTTCTCAACGACTTACTTTTTTTTTTTTTTCACTATGCGTATCGATCTCGTTGCCGGAAGCAAACCTCTGTATATGCGCTTCCTCCAAAGTATATTTTTCTTGTGTTAGGGCAGTCCTGTGACGTTGCCACTTGAAATTTCGGAGAACATGCCTAGTGTCTAGGGAAAAATGCGTGCCGGCTTTGGGGAAGAGCTTTAACGCGGGCAACCGCTCAGAAAAACTGGTCTGGTAAGTCTGGCAACCACGCCCTCGCCTGGGAAGGCAACGCCACAGCGGCGTCCAAAATGTCGATATTTCTTTTACTTCGAAAACCTTTCAGAACAAAGAACACTCATTTATAACTAGGTCCAATCCGAAGTATTGCACCACTATTGTAAAGACGCACGTGCATGTACCCCAAGGAAAGCTTATCGTTCCGAAGCCACCTATTTATCGCGGCAAAAACACGAACGTGATTCCCAAGGCGCGAAATCCAGAGGGCGCTAGCACAAATAAACTGTGGCACATGGGTAATGTCGGTCCACTTTTAATGCAATTGTTCTGCATTTTTCAGCGCCTTTCGAAGGTCTGATTGTTTTACGTTGTAGGCGAACAACTACTGCAAATAAGCTAGCTAACTGCTTTCAGGTTTCCCTTCAGCGTGAGTGATTAGTTCTGTTTTATAGTGGCAGTTCGGCGATCATCCGTTGCGATGTCGGAGCCCAAAATATCCCCGAGTGATCCGTTGAAGCTTTGGTACAGCATAAAGGGCGATGTCAGGTGAGTGTTTCTTTGGCTTTTGTTGGAAGTATTCGCCAAGCTAGTGACGCTTTTCTGATGCTTTTTCGCGTTAGTTTGACTTCTCGCCAATGGCTGTCTCTGGGAGAAAAAAATAAATAAAAATGCAGCAGGCTAAGCTGGGTCGTGTGTGTGTGTGAGACAGTTTCGCAGAGTTTTATTGCAGATTTGCCGATTGGACGCTGAAATAAAGCCCTCCAGTATTGTTTTATGTAGACTATGTTGGCTGATGGTTACCACATTCACGTTTAATGTAAACGCGGCTGCATCTTCGCTTCTCGTAACGTTCAAAGTCCTTTGAAACAAGCACTGCGTATGTTTGGTTTGGTTCATGAAATCCCAGATTAAAATCAGTCTAGCGCGCAGGTTATTTCGTAAAGTGATATTTCCGGAGAGGCGCAGAAATGGACCGTATGTTCAAAGCGAATCCTGTAGCTCTTGGCGCTTAGCTACAGTAACACATAGTGACGACTTCAGTAACGACGCCGTAATTTCTGTCACTAGTGCTGTGCGAAAGAACACTGCTTTGAGTTACTGTAAACACCCTATACCCGTTCTGGCATCGAGAAGTGCGCGCGCGCGCGCGCGTGTGTGTGTGTGTTAGCGGTCGCTGCGGTGCATTAACGTTTTCAGTGATCAAAAGACGTAGTTTGACTAGTGGGTTTACTTCGGCTCGAGGAGTATTTTCGGTATGCAACGGTTGTATTGCTAAGAACTCTAGTGCCTACTGTCTAAAGCGTTATACGTACTTGTGCTATGTATTTCGCCTAGCTTAACAACAGTCCATGTAGTACAGTCTTTTATGTGTTTCAACATGTGTACACGCCTCGCATGTGCTGACTGGGCTCTCCCTTGGTTTTTCAAGCTGTTGCGTACACATATTGAAATTATTGAACCGTTGGCATCATTACCTTCATTATTATTCTTTCTTGTTTCAGGACAGCAAAGACTGTTGCATTGGAGTCACTGACACTGCAGTCTGTCGACAATTCTGTTTACGTCATGTTGCAGATGAACTGTGACTTCATAAAAAAGTTTGAGTTTCTGAATATTTCAGAAATAATAGTCACAAACCTCCGAGTAAGTGATGTATTTTCCGAGAATCATGCTTGTGCTCTGTGGCATGATAAGATGACCATATAAAATTGGACAACTAGACAAAAAGCTGCCTGAACCCCTTGCGCATCATAAGTGGCTTGAATTTTTCTTAATGAGCCCAAAACAAGCAAAGTATTTTTCTATGCTTGAATTTTTTTACTATACTTTTTAAGAATTTTTTCTAAATAATATTCTTTCGTTAAGGCCATACATTTTGGCATTTGCACACTAGTCATAAAATATGGCCATATTGCGGATGCCTAAAAAAAGTGGAGGATACTGATCGCAGTAGTACTTACGCCTAGCAATGATTCTGGCAGAGTTTGGTGTAGAAACATTTCAGGTCTATTTCACCCATTCTGCGACATAAGACCATTCAGGGGCACATTGTTTCTTTTTTTTTTGCAATGCAGATACTTTTCACCAGCCCAAAGTAAGTATACTGAAATCAAGATGCTGCTTGGTGTTTGCAGAATTGGGGAGATGCAGGCACCTCATTTGTTCCGTCTTATTACCACTGTGGTGTAGGTGCCACTTTAGTGTACATAGCAACACTTGGTGTGTTAATGTCTGAGCTGTGTTACAGAGTTCAACAAGGTGCACAGGGCGTTTTTATTGCTGCATGTTGCAAATATGCAACATACGGCATTCAAGGATTTGTGCCCCTTATATTGCAAAACATATATATTCAAGGCATACCTGAGAACTTCGATCATTTTATCAGAAGTTGCCATTTTGCTGAAAAAGCCCCAGAATGTAGTTTTCTTAGTTTCTAACGAAGTTGGAGGTGGTTCGAGCTTTGCCTTCAAGTGTGGAACGCGGTAGTGCGAACCGAGCCCCGTTTGTTTAGTCTTCTCGTTTGCTTGCTATGCTTTGCTTGATGAATGCCTTAACTGTGCCGCAAGGAAAAAACCATCTGTGTGCTCAACATTGACTCTTTTAAACTCTCATTAAATGCCTATTGTAAGGGCAGTTGCCAAGTTCCCCCTATGCCATATTGCATGATTTTCTGAAATAGGAGCGTTCAAATTGCATGCCTGTAAGGCAATATGCTTACTTACACAGCTTCACACTTTGTTGGAGCTGTGTTTGATGATGGTAATCAAATATGTTCTTGTTCTGCTAATGGATGCGCCTTTAAACCCTGGGAGAGCAAGGGAATAACAGCACGAAAACGCACCCACAGGAGAGAAGAAGACATGGACTCACAGGAGCTGCATGTCTACACAGTGCCAGACTGTCCATGTCTTCTCTTCTGTGGGTATGTTTTCGCACTGTTATTCCCTTGCATTACAGTGAATCAACTCGCCCCAAAAAAAAGTTTTGATTACCTAAACTACTGACTTGTGAAATTCACGTGGTGCCACGCCTGTTGTGATTCCACACTTGTGTCACAAAATCATACGTTTTTTAATGTCACTCCTTGCCTCAACTGACTGATGCTTAGGACTTATAATGCATTTTTTAATGTCACTCCTTCACTAATTGACACATGCATAAGACTTTTTTTTAAAGCAGTTCTAAGCACTGGCGTGGCTTTGTGGTAAAACACCTGACTGCCACACTGGAGGCCTCGATTCGATTCCGACATGAACTCCCAATTTTTATTATTTGCGTCAATCGTGATACGTTGCTTGTGGTCAACACAAATTTTTGGTACAGGAACAACGCTGCCAATGTTGACATTGGCGCTAGAGTTGCTCTGAAACGAGCTTTTTAATGCTATCGAGATAAATCTTAAGACACTTTAAAAGCAATGTCAAATTTGTGCTGCTGTCTTATTTTTCAGTCTGTTGCAAAGCCACCACCTCCACCATCTTATTTTTCATTCGTGACTGTTTTTTGTGTTGGTCACTCAGATATGATAAAAGGAACCACCATAACATGTCAAGACAAGTTAGTAAAAAGAGAGAAAAAAAAACAGCGGCTTCCGCAAAGTCGACATCGTCGTGGTGTTTCGTGCTGATATATTCGGATGATGCTGGGTAGTTGCCTGCACATTGTGGTCGCTTTAAGAGGGTCAAGTCTGAAAGTTTAATACCGTTCTGAGCCATGGCTAGCTGGGATTGACACTAACTTAAACTCCTGTGGTTATACAGACTAAAATACCCCCAAAAATGTACGGGGACAATGACTGCTAGCCTGATATAACTGTTTGTACATTGCACATGCATTGTGTCATTGTTGATCCTTTACACCTGGAAAAGAGCAGTTTATGGATGAATAAATGGTAAGTCTAGCAGCTATAAAACGAACAAGAGTTTCTCATAGATTGGTGCATATGCCACACATGAATGAAATGAATTTCCTACTGTTATCGTAAACATTACAAAGCATGGCACACATCATATGCTCACACACGTGAGAAGCACAATGGTTATTTTTATTATTCAGCTATCTTTTAGATATAATACTTACCATAGGTGTGTTCACTAACGTGGTCGTTAGGCGTTTGTGTAATACTAGACTTAAGGAGTGGTCTAATGTGCGCTTTGCTAGTATATTGAGCCCAAAGTGTAGGGCAAACATATTGCGATTTTCGATTTCGTCTTTTCCCTCACACCAATATTATATCAAACATCCTTGAGTAGAAGTACCTTAAGAACGGATTAGTGTACACAGTCTAGTCTGAGAGGCGTTTATTGCACTTGGAGACTTGTTTGACTGGTAGTACGTTATTAATTTCTATTATTTTAATTTCCTGTAATTTCTTAGGTATGCACACAACATGGGCAACAAACGTATTCACAATGCCCATGGGCTATAGGTGGCGCGCCGTGCAATCAAAGATTGCTGTGGGAGGAGGATCAACCCATGAACTCGCATAGGAAAAGATACGACGCACGGAAGTACGCCCCGTGATGCTTTCACTGGATGAACTCTTGATCGTCAAATGAATGTATATCGGATCAAAGCACCTTCCCAAATGACAGGAATTGCTAAATGTTCGCAACCTCATTTTTTATTGCAGTGCGAAGGTGGTGGTGTCAACTGATCGACCGTGCATCAATGATGCTTTGCGTAATCCTGTGCATGCTACAGAAAACTGTGCGAAGTACAATCAACATATGAATTGAGCGGCATTCTAAAGTAATTTGTACCAAGGGCCTGCCTAACGGATTTGCCACAGCAGTAGGTCGCTAGCGAGTAGCACGCCATCTTGGCTCTACCAGCCCAAATGTTTAGCGTGCCTATGGTTTGTGAGCATATTATGCTGTTGTCTTAACTTGCGATGTCAGCAACACGGAGTTCCTTCTTCAACGAAATGCGAGCATTTAACTTCTCATTAGCCATGCTCAGATTCTAATCGTGCGCAATTCACTGAACTCAGATTTTGCAGGTCTATCAGCGTGATCGATACATGAATATGGAAAAGAATTCACACGTATGCTTTTTGCAGGATCAGAATCGCGAAAATTTATCGAACAACATCGTCGTTTAAAAGGCACCAGTGTAGTTGAGAAGTTAGCTGAGAGGCGTGCATTATTGTCGTAACTAGAGGTTTCATTACTCTAACCATTTTGCTTCGCTGGTCGAGCTCGAGCTTGTTGGTGGCATGCGGCGCTTCATAATATCCACTTTAATTGGGCTACATGCAATTCACAAGAAAAACTATGCTTTTCTTTGACCTCACTGAAGGATATGCATTAAATACACAGTGACTTAGGAGTGTGAAAAAACGTCAGTGCACCAGGGGATATGAAGTGCAACTCGCTCCTCGTGAGTTAGCAGCTGGTCGTTCATCCTTGCTGTCACTCTCGGAGCTTTGACAACCTTCTACGTTCAGTAAAAAATTCTTGTCCTGATGATTTCTTTCAACATCACTGCTGAAAGCAATAGGTGGAATTCCCTCGTCTGAACCACTTCCGCAACACCAACACTGCGTCACTGAACATGTTTATCTGGGCACGGAAAACACTTCCCTCTAAAACCAGTTCACAAGCGAATTGCTTGCAGTGTGCTGCCATCTGTCAACAAATGCACAAAAACAAGCAGCGAAGCATTGCCAATGTTTTCGGGAGCAAATTGCGAGACCACGCAACTTTCAGTGTACAATGAATGTTATGGTATTCATGCAGGGCAAAAGCACTTGACTAAATGCTATACGCACGTAAAACGAGGTGAGCTTCAGCGGCAAAGGTCAAATGATAACATTTAGCTATCTATGTGGCTACAAAAAATCTCGTGAAGCTGATATATGTGTACTCTGCGGGCTATAATCGAAAGCGCAAGTTGCTGCTTTTTTCACTGCATGAAAAGTTCACATCTCGCAAGAATAAATCAGATTTATTGTCTCACCGATGGTCCGGTCTATTCATTGACGCATGAAACATGCAAAGTGGTTAGTGTTCTTTTGTTGCTAACGTGTTAACACTGAAGCTGGCTAACAAGGGAGCGTCTGCCTACTGACCATCCTCAAGAGGATGCTCCCGAATTCCGCTTGGTGGCGTGACAGTCTATGGGCATTGGGAATTGTGTGTCTGCTCACTTTCATTGCCCTGTGTATCAACAAAGAACTGTGCGAGCTCTTTAGCATCTTGAAGCTGGGACAGCTCTGATGTATTCTGCTTTAACCACTTTAGCAGCACTGGTTTGGAGATTGGGAAGAAGGTTAATGTCTAATGATTTGTCGTCAGTGTTTCGTCTTTAGCATTTCTGAATGCTTATGCAGATGCTGAGTGGTGATGGGCCAGCCTAAGCCAGCTGAACTGTTGGCACCAGTTCCTTGCATGTCCACTCTTAGCTTTTTATCTTTCCTATGCACTTGGTCAAAAAAAGGTGTATTTAGAGTGGCTTTGTGCCACACTGCAATAATTTTATCCACCTCACATGCTTTCCTTGCATTATTGCTGGCCACCTGGTTCTTCCTGGTCATAAACAGGTTGTGGCTCTCAGTATGACCTAGCATTCTTGAAAGGAAAGCTGTGAGTGCACAGTTTTCAAGAAAAGAACGCAAGTAATCTAAGTGATGAATATTGCGTGGTAAAAATGCACACCAAAAAAGATACTCCCGTTTGGCTTATACCTTGTGAAAAAAAAAAGAAGCATATTTGGAGTGTATTTCTGTCACACAACAACAATAGTTATTTATTTCGTGTGCTTTCCTTGCAATATCACTGTACATGAATGGGTTGCGCCTATTGTTTAGCAAGACGTAGAACTCTTTTAAAGGAAACTAGGGAGCAGACAGTTTTGAGAAAGTAAATGCAAGCAAGCGAAACGATGACTTTTGCGTGGCAGAACAATGCCTAACCCTAACACTTCTGTTTATTGTACATAAAGCATTGACTCTGAATGATTCTCAAGTTGTGCCGTGCCAGATGACACTACTAAAAATGCTGAATTTTGGTTGGTTTTTACAATTGCACATCAGTATGAGGAACTGTGATAAGGTAATTTTAGATTCACATGTTACTCTGCAACTGCATGTCATTCTTAAGTGCAAGGGTATGGCTATTTTCGTGATTATGCTTTGATGGGAACTTGACTGGGATAACAGATGCCAGTAGTGTTTCTGCAGCCCTTGTTACTTGAAGCACTTACAGATATTCGAGTCTGTTGTGCCTTTACTACTGTATTACACTTCCATCCTACTGCTATGGTGTGTTGTTGAATGGACCATATTTTTACGCAAAATTAACGGAATAATGTGCACTAGCAGTGGCTGTCTGATGGAAATTTCACACATAAACAAATGCGACGCTATGCTTGCTCTGGCCGACCCATTCGGAGTTTTCCGTAAGTGCCAGGTTTGATAATTGATTGTGCATGAGACAACTGCTTGCCTAAGTGCTGCTGCCACTTAAACAGTACGAGGGGGCACCCACTTTCATTGAAGATTGTTTTTGGATGAACATTGGCTGGACAGTGCATTTAAAGGCAATTACTGCTTTGCGGTGGTGGGGACCCTAGCTGCTGGAAACGATTCTACATAGCTTAATCCGTGGTACACTTTCTTGAGACATGCATGTCAAGTACATCTTAAAAAATCTCCCTCTGAAAGAATTTCTTTTTATGGATTTCTGTGACAGGGACATTTTATAATATGCGAGTTTGTTAGTCGTTCAGAAGCTTTGTGTGAGTTCATGTAAAAAGAAGCCCTTTTTTTCGTACAGAATGGCATGAGCCTGATGGAGATCTCGGATTGTTTGAGAATCCTTGCAAAATATGCCAAAGAGATGCTGAAGCCAACGAAAGAACGGTACAAACACTGGAACAAGATTCCTTTTATGAAAGCAGGTGCCCCACAGAAGTGGACCAGGATGGACGTAAGTTCTGCATTTGTGACCGCAGAGACATTTCTGTGTGGTGTAATTTTTTTTTCTGAGCTTTTTCTCGGATGCTTTTGGTGTATAACAATTGTGAGAGCACAAGAGATCAGAAGACAAATGTGAATATCAATTGTTTTATTTGTTGACTGGAGCCTACCATATATTACTGAAACTGCACGACTGTATGTAGACACGCCACAGACCAATTTTAGCTTACTTTAGGTCAAAGCTCAGATTTTTTTTCTTTTATTGTGATGTCAGCCAAGGAAAGGTCAACGGGAAGCCACTGTGCCATTTTTGGTTGTTCTAAGAACTACAGAAAAAAAACATTTCCGTCTGAATAAGTATGCGGCACGCATCACCAAATGTGTAGCTTTTGCGGTTCCTTCATGGTACATTGTTTGTGATACGTGACAAGTTCTATATCGGGAAGTGGCGCAATATACACAAAATACCCAGTGTTGCACTCAGCCAAATGTCAATCTGATATAGTTTGGTTGAAGACCAAACATAAGCAGTAGAATACGGCCCTGACTACTAAAATGCAAAAAATCAAAGCACCACTCGAGTAGCCACCTGTGTTGTTTTTGCTTCGTTTTAATATTATATTTTAGTATGAAGGGTTACACCAAACAAATAGCCTCGTAGCTCGGCTCAACACAGGGATCGATGTAGTTGATGTGGCTGTATTAACATGGATGAAAAACCCTTCACTTCGCAGTGAGGTAACCAGCATGACACATTTAATTTGAGCGGTGTACCAGCCTTGTGAAAGCCGAACATTCACTGAATTTTACATGAAAATAATGTGGCAGAATTCTTGTTGTGAGTGGTGGGATGGATCGTGCACGATGTCCAATATCAAAACTGAATAGCGAAAAAAAAAAAAAAAAATGCTGTCACTTCGTGTTTAAAATAACTGCCTCAGGAAGGGAATTTTTTGTGTGGTCAAGAACCGTGCCCGACAAGTTGGGCAAATACATATACAATATAGGTAATTTTCTTTTAACAAGGAAACAAAATTAAACCATGTTGTTGTGGTTGTCTATTGTCAATTTTGCTCCTTAGCTTTGCGAACAACAACCAAGATTTACTAAAGCAAAAGCTGTACAACCGGCAGACAGAATTCAAATAAAATCTCAAAAATGGCTCTTATGCCCATCATAGACTTGAGCCCGGGCGCGCTTGGTGCCTCATCGACACAAAAAACTCCCAACTATCTTCACTATACTGCCGCCGCAATCCAATAAAATGCCACGACTTGAAAAAAAAAAAAAAAAATGCGTGCTGGCATGTACACATCAGCATCCCTTTTTGGGTGCCAGTACCTCCCTGTAAACAGTTCTAATTTTGTCTGCACCCGGGGGACAATAAATGATCGAGTAAGAAGGTGTAATTAAAAGACAAGCAAAAGATAGACAACAGTTTGTGGGCAACAAACAAATGCCATCATCACCATGAAATTGCAACTGCACTCTCAAGCACGATCGCATGTACGGGTGGTAGCCGCTGTGACAGCATAAACAAACCGCACGTGCAAACACAGACTTAAATATTACAGTGCAGAAAAAAATTCATTGTATCCGCAAATGGTGCCAGCACTTGCTTTTCCTGCTAGAACAGGTCAAAATATTTTGACGTTTTTTCAACAGGAAGAGTGCCGGAAACATGCAACACCAATCACTTGCAATACGTTCGGGCCATCGCATATTATCATATTTGACCCCGAACGGATCAAATGCTACAGGAAGTCTCACAGGCTCATTTCCTACCTATACTGCAACATTTGAGATGAAATTCAGCGTGGCAGAATGAAAAAAACTGGCTGCAACTGCAACCGTACGAATACTTTCCATAGAAACACCGAGCTTCACATGCTCCAGTGGGTTGCCAGACCAGGGACGGCGCTGCCTGCTAGGCAATGTGTCGGCGCCCACATTAAAAAGGTCCATAGGCTAGCCAAATTTCTAAGATAGCATAGCTACATTGCCTAAGTGATAGGGGCTTGTCGTGTCTGCACTACGTCCAAGCTGTTAAAACAACTATGTTGTCAATGCCTGTGCCTACTTGCCATTTTGAGGTTCCGGGGAATGTGAGATATAATATCTTGCTTTAATTACCCCAACATTGTGGGAAAATTTCCTATCTTTTTGGGAGTGCGCTGAAGTGTTTAGTGTCTATCAGCGACACTTGCCTAATGGGTGCACTAGCTGTGTGAGCCACAGAACTTGGATCCAGTATGAGTTGGTACATGCAGCCTGCTTAATCATCTCAATGTTATCCTAGATTATAGCTTAAGAGGGCATACAGCCGTTTTGGGGACGGAGTGGGCTTTGTGACCTTAAGATTTATGCAACCTAAAAAAGTATCTTAATGGGTGCAGTGTCCTTGCCATTGTTATTTTGTTATGCAAGCTTGGAAACTTCTGTCCATACATTTGTAGCATTTGCTCATGTGCACAATACTAGTATGCAGCTCAAAATCTCTTCACTAGGCACTGAGGACTATCATTGCAAAGCTATTTTGTGTCAGCAGCAGGAATAAAGGGACACTGAAGAGGTTTTGAATTCGCGAATTTATTGCCGATTCAGTATCTGTGACCTTGCCCCCGCCACGGTGGTCTAGTGGCTAAGGTACTCGGCTGCTGATCCGCAGGTCGCGGGATCAAATCCCGGCTGTGGCGGCTGCATTTCCGATGGAGGCGGAAATGTTGTAGGCCCGTGTACTCAAATTTAGGTGCACGTTAAAGAACCACAGGTGGTCGAAACTTCCGGAGCCCTCCACTATGGCGTCTCTCATAATCACATGGTGGTTTTGGGACGTTAAAGCCCACAAATCATTTAGTATCTGTGACCTCTTACAACTTGTCTACGGAGGTTTTTTTCGCAAGGTTCGATTAAGGGGGGACACGGCACTTCGGGACCGAAAATCAGCCAAAAAATCGAGTTTTCGCGGACCTTCTTTTCGCGTTCCCGACATCATTGCGCACCTATTTACAAAATTTCATGGCCGAATACCATCAACTTTTATCGTTATTCAACTTTAAAAAACCGAAAACGGGCGTCCTGCCCTTTAAATTGAGGGCGAATAGCGCAGGTTTCGGCTCTACGATACGCGGGAACTACGCGCTCGATCGGCGCCATTTTGGTCTTGTTTGAAAGAACGCGTTTTCAGCTGTTTTTTTTATTCAGTAAGCAACATTGAGCGCTTCCCCGGCTCGAAAAACGGGGCCTCAAAGACGAAGAGCCGCGCTCACTGCCATTGGCTAAACGGCGCACGTGATTGAAATGGCGCTTTCCGGTTGGCTGGAAGCTCGCAGCTTGCGCCTGCATACGCGACCCGACGCCATTTTGAAAGGGTTACCGCTGTGACGCCTCGAAATCGGCAGAGCACTCTGAAGCTTCTGATCGTATCGCCATGCCTGGAAACGCAAAAAAGTATCGGACCGTGCACGCATTTGGTCGCAGGAAATGCAAAGGTCGTGGGAGAAAGTCTACGAAGTCATCAGAGCCCTTGGTTGACTCCGACGAACGATGTGTCGACGCTCCGCGGCCGTTCAGCGATGGTGCGACCGAGCGCGTTGCCTCCGACGACGATGACGGTGAAGCGAACTCCGGACGACTACGAATCGACGCCAAGGTGGTGACAAACGCCGAAGTTGAAGAAAATCATGCCCGGGAGAAAGCGACGCTCGACCGGCTTTCATCGGCGCCAGCAACTGCACGGAAAATTGACTTTTTCACCGCGAGTTGTAGCGAGGCAACCGCACAGGACTCGGACCACGCTGCTCCTTATCTGCTTATGCATCTAGATATCCTAAACGCGATAATGGGTGCCTTGTGTTGCAAAGCCTGCCACGGACCGGCTACGATCGTCAGAGGGGATCGGGACTACGGACTTGCCGTGAAAGTGCTAGTGCAGTGTGAAAGGTGCGGCGAGATCGCGAATGAATGGACTTCGCCCCGCGCGAACGGCACGAAAACGTGCAATCCGTTTGAAGTAAATCTTCTCGCTTCGAGGGCGATGGTGGCTACCGGCAACGGCCAAACGAAAATGAACGATATTTTCGCAACAATGGGCATCTCACACCGCGGTATGCACCACAAGACGTTTCAGCGGCATTTGAAGAACATGCTGGCACCCGCTGCAACGCGAGCGGCTGAGTCCGCTATGAGCGAATGTGAGGAAAAGGTTAGAACAATTTATGATGACTTGTGCTTCGGCCACCGGGGCAATATTGCCGTTAGCTACGACGGCACGTGGAAGACGCGAGGCCATTCTTCCCACATCGGCGTGGGCACAGTTATCGAATTATTTAGTGGCTACGTGTTGGACTACGTCGTTCTTTCCAACTTTTGCCTAGGCTGCGAGGTGGGCCCAAAGCCTAGTAGTGAGGGCTATCAAGAATGGAAGGCTAACCACAAATGCCAAAAAAATACGAACAGCAAAGCGGGGCAAATGGAAGTGGAGGCGGCTCTAATTCTATTTCAGAGGTCGCTTGAACGCCATGGCCTGCGCTACACAACTATGCTGTCTGATGGAGACTCTAGGACATTTTGCGCCATACAAGACGCCAAGGTGTATGGTTACATTGACGTGCAGAAGGAAGACTGTATTAATCATGTACAGAAACGGATGGGCACCGCATTGAGAAACCTGGTGCAGAAACAAAAGTGCGATGGGAAAAGAGGCCTTGGTGGGAAAGGCAGGCTCACAGGTGAGCTGATCACCAGGCTGAGCACATATTATGGCCGGGCTCTGAAATCGCATGAAGGTGACGTGGGCGAGATGCAAAAGGCTGTGATGGCCACATACCGCCACGTCACCTCCACTGATGAATGCTCGGTCCACAGTCTGTGCCCAGCTGGTGAAACTTCATGGTGTCGGCACAATGCTGCAAAAGCAAAGGGTGAGCCCGACCCCAGGCATGCCTACAATCTACCGAAAGACGTGGCAGAGGCATTACTACCGGTTTATACCCGGCTTTCGGAAAGAGCCCTGCTTCAGAGGTGCGAACGCGGCAAAACGCAGAACTCCAACGAGAGCCTACATTCGGTAATCTGGAGTTTGGCCCCCAAGGAGCACCATGCGTCCCTGTTCGCTGTTGAAGCAGCTGTTGCAGAAGCAGTGCTGCGCTTCAACACGG